GGCTGTGGCTTCGGGAGCGCAGACTTTTTGCAGGTCAGGCAGAGCGCGGCCTCGGGGGCGCAGACGCGCGGCAGGTTGAAAGGAGGCGTTACGGGAGCCCAGAGCGCCAGATATTACAACAGCGCGCGTGGCGCAGGGAGCGCGAAAGCAGCGTTGTCGAGAGGGTGCGCGGCCTGGGGGGTGCGAGCCCGCTGTAATTTACAAAGGGTTTGTGGCCTCGGGAGCGCCAGCGCAGTTTGCAATGGGCCCTGGCCTCGGGAGCGCGATCCCGTCGACGAGGAGGAGGAGGAGGAGGAGGAGGAGGAGGAGGAGCAGGAGCAGGAGCAGGAGCAGGGGCAGGAGCAGGAGCAGGAGCAGGAGCAGGAGGAGGAGGGCGCGGAGGAGGAGGGGGAGGAGGAGGAGGCGGCCGAGCGGTTCTCAGGCCGGGGTCTTCCTCGCGTGCTCTTCCGCCACTCGGTCATTGGGGCCAGAAGCTCGAAGCGATGTAACTGGGAACTGGGGCTGTCGCGTGGAACAGGACGACTTAGGCCTCGCAGCCTGTTGGCACCAAAGGGGGCTGCGGACTAGAAGCCCCAGGGTGGCACAGGCGCGCGCGTCGCCGAGGTCAGCGGCCCCTCGCAGCCCGCGATCGCAGCAGGGAAATCGCGCAGCTCGCCCGCGATACACTTGAGAATCGAAGCACGCTTGAGAAATCTGTCCTCGTTGTTTCCGAAAGCGAGATCGACCGAGCGCCCCGGAAGGAATCGCTGGCGGCTTCCGTCGTGCATCTCGAGCACTGCGCTCTGCCGCCCCTCGGCGAATCGCAGGCCCATCGGCGCAGCAGCGGCTCCGAGGTCCAGGGTGCTATGCGGCGCCCCCGAGAGCCACGTGGACTGCCCGAACACAACTAGTGCAATTTCGCTCCATCGTCGGCGGAATGTCGCAAGTCTGCGCGAAATCGAGGTCGGTCTCGCTCGCGGTCTCGAGGTTTCAGATGCCCATGTCGGGAGCCGGCTCGAAGGTGCCATCGTGGCCCGTGACGCGCGCGAGGTCTGTTGTCGTGTCATCTTGACACGCAGCCTCCTCAATGATGTCTTGTCGTCGAGGCCCGCGATCTTCTGGCGGTCTGTCTTGCCGTCGTGATCCGCGAGACTTTCGAGATCTGAAGCCATCGTGACCCGCGATCGGTGGGTGGTCTGTCTGGGCATCGCTACCCTTGATCTTCGATGTCGGTTCTGTCTCGCCAGCAACCGCAGCGACGATGGCGGCGGTGGATGCGAATAGATCTGACCGCTCTCGAGGCGGCCCTGCGCCGCGCGAGCGCTGGCGACGTGCCCTGGGCCGCCTGGCCACCGACACCTCGGAAGTATTGCGCGCCCGGTGGAGGCCCTTCCTGCCAATCTGCTCGGCGAATGGAGACGGGGCTTGCCCTTGACGCCCAATGCCTTGCCCGAGCCCGCCGAGGCCGCCCCCCGGCCACCAGTCGCAGCTCCCTGGAGTTGCCCTTGCCTGCGCCGCTTGGCCACGCGCAGCCCTGCCGCGGGCGCTCCGCCTCGCCGCGCAGATGCCTCCGCCGAGAGCGCCGCCGCAGCAGCCCGCGCTTCTGCTGATGGCACGATGCGCCCCTCGCCCCCGACGCGCGGGCATTCTTCTTTCGCCGTCAGCTCCCCCCATCGGCCCTCGGCCATGTGAGCGCGCGGTCCGTCGGCCCCGGCGCTGCCTGAGGGGCGCGCGGTCGGTCGCGGCCTCGCCCCCTGTCAGACCGCGCGCCGAAGGCGAGATGGGTCGGCAGGCGCCCGTTGGAGGTCGGAGAGCGGTGCCGATCTGATGCAGGGCGCCCCGCGCTGGGAAGTCGCGCCTCGCGTTCGGCCGCGCTCGGGGGCCAGGCGGAGACGCGCAAGACCCTCCCAATCAAGAGGCGCATTCCGGCCAGTAGTAGCGCAGCGCTTCGCTGTCGTGTTTTACAGCGTGGGTCGTGGTGCGTTTTACGGTGGAATAAAAACGAGGCGCATTCTGGCCAGCCTGCTTCCGCTCGCGCGCCCGCCGCGGGGCTTCCGGGTTTGCCCCGCCGCCATCCTGCGGCGGGATCTGCCGCGCACCGCCCAGCCCCCCCTCTGTGGCTGTCCTGCAGTTTTGTCCCGTGGTCGTGCCGTGCTTGTCCCGCGGTTGCCCCTTGGTGCCGTTGGCTCCGCGCCCCAGTGGCGTTCGTCGCGCTGTTGCGTGCGGCTGTGCCTGGGCTGCATTTCAGTTTTTTCCGTGGCATGCAGGTGGAGAAGATGGTCCGAGGGATCGTTAGAAGAGTCACATGGTTTATGGGAATAAAAAACGAGCCAGAGGAGTTCGAGGAGTCAGAAGATCCAGGAAACCATAGTACGTAGCACCCCGCAATTGCGGATAAGAGTGAGGAGGCGGGCGCGGGCGACGCGGGCGTCGAGCTGGCGGGCCTCGTGGCCTTCACCTTCCTTGTTGATGGCACCCTCCTCCTCCTCCTCCTTCTCCTCCTCCTTCTCCTCCTGCTGCT